ACAGAGTGGAGCGTCATCTTGCAAGCGCGCCTAGAGAGCGCATCGCCCCCCCCCCCCCCCCCTTCATGGGTCTCGGATTCCCACGCTGCACGAGAATAACGTTTATTATTTCCTCTAGTTCGAAATCAAGGTAGAATGTAGTACGCAACCGAAATGAGGCATATAGGCGCATAGTTCAGGCGGGATTAAGTGGAGTTCGGGGAAAATAGAATCCTCTCTCACAAGGAAGTGGAAATAAATTTCCAGCCGACATTTCAGACACAGTAATGGTGAAATCACTCTTCGAAGGTCGGACGTGATCGGTCCACCTCCGCGTTCTTCAGCCAATGCAGGGATAGGGCGCTTCAACGTTCGGCAGCGGTAATGTGAATTAATTAATAATTAATTCACATTAGGCGATAATTTATCATTGTGGAGGTGATTCTCTGAACCATTCTCGCCCGAGACTGGACACGAGAAGAAACATTTTCATCCAAATGGATAACCGTGCCCGGAAAAAAAAAAGTTGAGGGTGTGAAAGCTAAGAACGCGATTGTAATCGGTGCAGAAAGGTTCAAAAATCGGTTCAAAAAGTTATTTGGCTGGTAACAAACTCGATGCTATTAATACAGCTGAAAAAAATTGGACTTTTTCCTTGGTAATTCAGGTCACGTATTTCGCGTGATGACCTTTGTAAGACTCCAGGTTCATTTTACTCGCTACGTGATTCTTAATTTCCATCCGGTGGATCACACCCATGAAGACATTGGCCATATTTTCAGTTCCATCAATCATGGGAAACGGGACATATTTGATCATTATTTCACCTGAAACAATTTTCTCACGTGCACCTAGTGAAATCATTGCTATTTTTTTTAATTCCTGTGGTATTTCCTACATAATCCCATGGGAAGAATCCCTCTCTTTCCATAGAATTGATGGAGTGTCTTGGATAAATTAATCGTGGGGGAGAAATGAGGCTCTACTTGTTGAAGAAGTGGGGACACATGACTCAAGGAATTCAGGCCTTCCCTTCCGAGTCATTTCAATGGCCAGGCCCAACCACTTGGATTTCGAATCAGGAGATTCAGCGGTAACGCGTAACGCGCAACGACCGAATGCATCCAGAGGGAGATTGGTCCTCCAATGAGAACTTGCCAGTATCCGATGGAGTATCTTGGATCAGCTATGGGATGCATACTTAAGCGGGTGTATGAAGGAATTCCGAAGTCGTCTCTCAAGTTGCGCGTGGGACGAGATCGGGTACGGTGCGGAATATACAGGTGACTCATTCCAACGATACCAGGACTAGAATCGCTAAATCGGCGCTTAGGCACCGTCTTAATGGAATATGGATATCTTAAACATGTCTCAACATTTCAACCTTTCATGAAGGTCGACACAACGTTGTTAAGCCGAACGAGGTCTCGAAGTCTGCAACAAGGGCAAAGCAAGAGCAAAGGAGGAGAGATAGAATTCCGCGGAGATCCCAGCGGTGCGTGCTCGCCGGGCTGAACCAGTTTCATCGAGCCCCAGGGGGAGTGGGTGGGGTCCTCCCTTCCCGACTTTTCTCCTCCGTCCTCGCTTGTTCCCTCCCGAGTTCCTCTCGTCGTTCTTAATATGATCGACCATCAGGACTCTGAAGGCCCGCTGGGGACCGTTCCGGCAGAATCTGTGTGAGTTTTTTTTCCGATTCGATATGTCAATGCTAAGTCGTTGGGGTCTGTAAGAATATGTGTATAACAGGGTGGGGTGACTATTTCGCGTGGAAGGATTTATTTAAATTCCATTTCATATATACAGTATATACATCGCGGTAACAATTGCGGTAAAACGTACAGAAATTCCTGGAATTGGGCATAAAATGATGAATTAAAACACAACTTGCGGCCTGTGGCCTCTATGGCCGTCTAATAGGCAAACATTTGAATAATCTATTATGAGCATAACGTCTTCTTGGCATCCTCTGTTCATCGCATTGCGCATGCTCTTGCATCACCGAATAGTTTATGGGACTATTAGCATTAGCTCATAGTACAGATACTACTGATTCTGAAACAGTACGGGCCATTTCGGGGAACTTGTTCGACTTTACCACTGAAGGAAGTTAGCACATGTGCGGCACAATACTAACGAATAATTCCTAAAAATGCCTCGCCGACACATAAGCACCAGTGAGCAACAGTGTGAGTGTTAAGTGTGAGTTGCAGCAGAAGCACTTTTCCGTTGTGGCAGCAATGTTACGCAAATGTCCCCTCCCTACAGCAAAATGTACAGCCTGACAGTGCTCGCTGCGACAAACGACTGTAATTCGGGAGATGAGAGGAAGAGGCATGACAAAATGTCCCGAATTCCGTGGTGTAATGGTAGCACATGGATTGTAGCAATGCTTGCCTGACCGGCAAGCAGGAGGAACGGGTTCAATTCCCGGCTGCACCCCGGGTTTCGACATCTGAATGCTGCGTTCCTTGCTTCAAGTTGCCCAGCAGGTTCCGCGGCTCTCCTATTCCGGAGCTTAGCATTCGCTGCCTCTTGCTCTTCAGCGGTCTGAGCGGCCCTAAGTTCCTTACGTACAGCTGCGTGCTGTTCATCACTCATTCTAGCCATTACGGTTAGCACCTCCTAAAGCACCGATTCAGGCACATCGCACCGCAACTGCATTGGCAAACGTTGTTTCCGCGCCAACACCAATCGCTTTTTATCTGCAGCGATTGCCTCATCGCCGCCCTGTGGGACCCCCTTCAACATTTTTCCTTCGCGTTCAACCTCGCCTCGCAAAAATCGCCACCATTTTGATGGGAGGTGCACATCGTTTGGACGTGAAGAGAGACTTTTTGGACTATTATTTTGACTTCGTCAATCATGGGAACTCAAATCGGCCATGAAATGAAACGCAAATAGAAAACTATTGCATGGAAGCGATGTCCCGAACCACCACGCCTGACCTAACGGAAAAAAATAAAACGTGACATTGCATTCGGTTATTACCCCCCTTTGATTGACACAGCTAAGTATGAAGCCTATGGCTGAGACTGATACAGCTCTATGGACCTGGCGCTAAAAGCGTTGGATGGCCAAGCTTATGGCCTAGAATAACATAGCCTGAAGGACCTGGCGCTTTGAGAGGTGGATGGCCTAGCCTTTGGCCTGAAATGACATAGTCGTGTAGGCCTCGCGCGCTAGAGTGACAACCACCACCACCACGACTCTCGGGCTCTTCGAACTAAAGTATAAGAAGATAGGTGAACAGGAACTATGTGAAAAATATTCAAAATGTAGAATAGGCGTAGAATCCAGACCTTTTAAACTTGTTTCACTTTCTGATCATTCTATGAGGTCGTAACATTTATTTTGCTCGAATTTTGCTCGAAATTATATTCAAAATAAAAATTCTATAACATTAAATGCAAAATTAATCATTATAATTCCCTTCTCTGTCTATAATCTCCTTCCACCTGTCCACCAGTTTTTCGATGCCACGTTTGAAGAATTCCCGGGGTTTCGGCATGAAAAAAGAGGACATTGTATTTTCGACAGCTTCCTGGGAATGCGATTTTTTTCCATCTAGATGATTTTGCAGACTTCTGAATAGATGGTAGTCTGAAGGTGCTATGCCTGGGGAATAAGTTGGGCGTTTTCGTTCTACAGTGATGCCGTCTTCAATCATTGGAGCAATTGCCAGTAGGCTTCAGCTGTGATGGTTTGGTTCGCATTCAACAGCTCTAAATGAATGATTCCTTGCATATCCCACCAAGCACATGGACTAATTTTCATTCCATGGAGCCTATGTCTTGGCTTTGGCTTAGCCTTTTCTTCAGGGCTAAGCCATTGATGGCGACGCTTAAAATTCTTATAAAGGAGCCATTTTTAGTCCCCAGGGACGATCCGATCCAAAAACGGTGCCTGAAGTTGGCGAGAATGCAGTGATGCGGAAATGTCAAATCGGTGTCGGAGATTGGTTGGTAAATGTTTGGTTGTTGGGAAATCATGCGGAATCCATTTTCCAAGCTTCACTATTTCCCCAACCGTTTTAAAGGACGATGAATGATCACATGGTTCGCATTGGGTTTTAGGCCGATTTCTCGTGCGGTTACAGTAGGGTTTTCCTCGACTCCAGCCATCTAACTCATTTGTTCGCTGTTCATCTTTCCGGCTGAAGTGTCCATTTCGGAACTTCTCGAACCACCTCCCGCTCATCCATTCACTCGCAACATCTTTCACATAAGCACTTTGAGTGTTCCTTGCGGATTCACCAGCGTTATTCCCTTTCTGAGACTCGTATAGCATCACATGTGGAATATGCTCTTTCGTCACTTCCATCTCTTTATTTTAAAAAATGAAACGGCGCAGTGCAAACTCATCAAAATTCGCAGAAAAACTAATTATTAGAATGCAATGACATCATGAACTGCACGTGCACAGTTTCGCGATAAAACATGTCGCAAACCTGTCGATGGTTGCATCGTGCAAAATATATGTTAAAATCTCATATTTCATGTCTTTTTAGCTGGATTCCCCTACAAAAGGCGCTGTCTAGATTCCCCACGATTTTCATGAGCCGTCCTGGTAGTAATTACTCCATTTCGTACTCTTTTAATTTCACCAGCCGCGATTTCACGAATTTTAAATCTCACCGGACCACTTTGACGTTGAAGTCAATGAAATACAATCGGACTTGTAGGATGACGTTTAAACGCAGCCGCTGGAAACGGGTTGTTTTTCATTGTATGGTCTCAGTGCAGGCTGAGAATAAATCATTTTAAAGGCAGACTAAATGTATAACTTGACACATTTTTGGAATTAGTATTAACTTATTCTTGAATGAACATGGAGTTGTCTCATGCATTAACTAGTCCATCAGGTTTTCTTTCATTTCCAGGAACTCATTCGAGAAATCCTGAGGAGGAGCGTGAATAAAAAATAGAAAAAAGTTGTTGCCCTAAATACAGACGATTTTCCGCCATTATTGAGAAAAAGTCTTTTCTGGTTTCAAGTATTTCCTTTCCAAGAGGAAAAAAAAAATGACGTAAGGAGTTCTTGCTCTCACCATCTGGTAAATTTCATTTTACCGGAAAATAACAATATCTCCCGAATTTCTCATTTAGGGATTATCCAGTATGTGGAAATGTATTTTGCGCCTTCTCCACCTTAATGCGTTATTTTTAAATATTGAAAGAAGATTCAAGTGCATCATATTGCTGAGGGAAATCAATACATGGAAATCGCAGCTTAGTGCTCCTCTGAGTGAACCCCTTCGAAAATAAGAAAGAGGTCGTGGGAATATAGTCCGATGCATGGGCGAAGGAACATTTTCAACTGGGAAGAGAGAAAAAAATTCGTCGACTAGATTGAGATTGCGACCAGGAGGAAACTCTGCTCTTTCCAACGTGCACGCACATCTGTGAATGTTGGAAGTGTCAATGCAATCCCAACAAAGTGAATGGGTTCAGGTTACGACTCTTAGTCCTTGAATGAGTGTAAACCAATTACATAACTATTTTACATATGACATGTTTCCATATGAACGTGCCTGAACCCGCACATGGCGGGAAAAAGTGGTTACCGTGTCGTAACTTGTTCTTCTTCGAATCATACCAATATGTATCCAATTGATGTAGGAAAAATGTAGTTTGGTCATAGCACGAATCCGATGTGTGGCCCGATACCAAACCCATCGAGGTGCAGACGTTTTTTGGCGAAAGTCATGCATCGCGTCACAACGCTCCTAGAGACGCTTGCAAAAGACCAAGCCTGCAGCCGTCTCGAGGAACCCATTCAGACAGTGAGAGTTCTGGCTCTCCATTCGTCATGGATTTTTATTTCCACCTCACTATATGGTCTCCACGAGGTTAAAAAATGCGTCTCCTTCATTACTTGAGACAGTTGC